CTCAGTATAACAATTATATATGTACACTCAAAGTTAGTCGCTGCTAAAATCTTAACCTTGCATTTCGGGAAAATCTGACAAATGGCTCTTAGACTCAAATAAGTAACACAGATAGAAAGTACTCAGTATAACAATTATATATGTACACTCAAAGTTAGTCGCTGCTAAAATCTTAACCTTGCATTTCGGGAAAATCTGACAAATGGCTCTTAGACTTGTTTTGATAATTAATTCTTCAATTATATTATAATTTATAACAAATTTCCTCAAACTATCTGTATGTCATTCAATTCCCGGCCACTACATTCAATGATGGACCATTTCCTTCAAATTTTGAAATACCTTATTCAATTTGTTGTATGGAGCCCGTGATATTCAACACTATGGAGCTCCTCCAGTTTGGTATCCAAGAAGAGATAAAAGCTAGCATGGGCTACTCTCAAAAATGCTTGAAGCAATATATTCAAGTTTGCAACAAGGATCAATAGATTCAAATCTTGTTTATTGTACTTTAAAGGTACTTTTAAAAAAGAAACAATTAATGTAAAAGATTCAAATAATTTTTTATTATTATTTTATTAATTTTTTAAATAAGGTTAATAAAAGTGACACTGGATAGTTTGTCCCACACTCTTCTATTTCTAAAAAAATTGAGACCTAAACACGAGATAGCTTTCAGAAAATTTTCAGGGACATTTTTAATCATTTTTTATTTATTGTAATATCTTTGTTATTAAATTTGAATTGTTTAATATTTGAATGTATAGAATTGAATAGTAATAATTTTAGTTTTAATACATAGCTAATTGCTAAGCAAAATAATTAATTTATTGTAATTTTGACATGTAAACTAAAGGGGAATTTAGCCGGCCAAATATATGTCACTTTTGACTTCACCTCACTTCCACCATTTCGTCTTATGACAAAATATAAGTTAGTTTAAACATATATTGCTATATCTCATGATCTTACTTAGTACTTTTAAAGTTAATTTCAGAAAAAATTTGACACAATGGTATCCGGCACATACAAGTGGTGTACAACCAAATCTTCGACTCGATGAACTTGTCATCGAGTTATATTCCAGTGTTGTTCCTTCATTCCTGATTAAGTTGCAAATTAAAGGTCTGGATTCAGAGAGAAGTGTTAAAGTTATCAAAAAAGTCACAAGAGATTTCGAAGAAATGACACAATTTAAAAAAGTCGAATGCATCAGTATGCTTGAAGCTGTTCAGAAAGGTCTGAAAAATGATACACTTGATCCCAACATTGTTTACTCAACATTAAAAATATTATTGCAAAGAAAACATTTGATTTAATAAACATTTAATTTATTATAATTAATTTTTTATTACAGTATAGTAAAAAATGCTATAAATAAATTATTATATTTTATTAAAATGTGACTTTTAATAGTAAGTGAATAAAATAAATCAGGAATTGGGAAAGAAATAAGGTTAATTAAAAATAATGAAAATTACAAGTTTAAGGTTAATGAAAAGTGACAATGGGCGAGTTTGTCCCCCATTCGATTTGAATTTTGTTAACTCTTTTCAAAATCACTTCATTTTTATGATTTCGGTGGACTTAGAGGAGCTTATTGCTTTTGGTATTAAACAGGAAGTCAAGGGCGGTGTCCCATACAGAAGAAGAACGGGATCTCCAAAGCAATATGTCACTTATTCATGTTCGTATCCCCTATGCAAGGCAAAATTTAGGGTTGAAGAACAAAATGGAGTGTTTACTATAAGCAAAGTTAATGAAGAACATTGCCATCATATAGGAGTTGAAATGGGTTCACATTACGCGAGTAAATTTTATCAAAAATGGATCGAACTTTATATTAAAAACGGTGGAAAGCAATTTCTTGCTCAAAAAGCATTTTTTGATAAGTTCGGAATTGATACGAATAACAAAGAAACGATGAAACTTTTCGCGCAGTCTACTGATGCTTTAAAGCACAAATTTTATCGCCTTGATGAGATTATTGCACAAAGATTATCAAACGATCCTTACACTTCTTTGGAAGCATTTTTGAATAATTTACAGGAAGAGTGCCCAGATGATCTCGTTCAATTTGATTACAATGGAGATTTTTCCGAGTTTACAATCATATATGCACCTTTTGCTGCAAAAGAATTGGTGCATAGCATTGATAACCCTCTCCACGTCGATTCCACTCATTCTTTAATTAAAGGAAAGATCCAATTGTTTGCAGTAACAATGAAAACAAGTCAAAACACAATTTTCCCCTTTTGCTATTTTTTAGTGAACCCTCAGACATCTGAAAAAATTCAAGAATGTTTGGTGAAATTCTGTGAGTTTGCGCACCTGGATCCACAGCATTGGAGCGCTGACTGTGCGCTAAACATTGCTCGCGCAATTGAGGACGGATTTCCTCTTGCGCAGCTCAGTTGGTGCACTGTGCATGTTTTACGCGCATGTGCAAAAGTTGGAAGCTATTTTGACAATCCACGGAATTTGCAACCACTCACAAAATCTGTTGGCGTTATATTCTGGAGCGGCGTACCATTAATGAGTAAAAGTATATGGAATATTAGTCTGGAGTTATAAATAATGTCATATAAATAGATTACATCCACTCCGACCAAGCTTTGAGATTTTCTGAACTGAAGTTTGTGTTAAACTCATTTCTTTTTCCTCTTTGCGATTATTGACCTCTATGCTTTGAGTTGTTTGGCGAGTCTTTGCTTATGTTCATAAGGCTGGCATGGCTATGTGATCGAGTTGCAATAATTTTCCCATGTCCTTTTTTAATATTTTTTTTTTTGGGCCCCTTATTTATTTTTTGGACATGGGTCGCACCACAATGACTCAGGGTACTCTATACGAGGTCTAAAGAAAAGTAATTTTTCAATTAGTACCTTGTGTTTTGAGTCTATCAGCGTATTGGCGATAAGGCATGCCTCTTTCCTGACAGTGTTCAGGTTTATGAAGCTCTAATCACAAAAAGATGGCCTGTCGATAATGGAATAGAGAAAAGCTTAGTTTTCCACAAATAAATGTTTTTGAGTAAGCCAATTCTGTGGGTTTCATATTCCATGTTAGACCTGATTTGAATTTATTAACATTATCTATATTTGTGAATGGGTAGCCTTTTTACCCCTCATTATTTCATGTCTTGGTCTCGTCATTTAAATGTTCGATGTAAGTTGTATATAATTTATAGTATGTTCAAAGGAAAATATGTGTTTAATCAATATAACAATTATACTTTATTAACTTTGGTAACTGGTCCCTTCGTTTGAAAGTTATTCTTAACATAATTAATCATAAACCCTTCTCGGTTCAAATTGGTCTGCAAAGTAAAAGTTTTTATGACATTTTGTAAACTTTCGTATTGCAAGGTCATTAGTACAATAGGATTTCTCTTCCATTCTAACTTCTTCAACTAAACTAATCTTTCTAACTCTGTATAACCGAAAATAATACAACATCTCTAATGGTTCTGTTGGTTCGTTTTCTTATAATGAGATAAAAATGTTCTAGAAAACGATCAAGGTAGTTATATACATCTAAGCCTGTTCCAATTTCAAAATAAAACTGTTGTCCGAAGATATTGTCAATTCTATTCATATCTTTCAAATGCATTTTAAAAGCCGGCAGTCAGAAAAATACCACTATATCTTCGTTTCAACGACATTCGCTTCCGATTTGCGTCTATCGAACTTCTATTGGTATATTGGAGAAGGTTTAGTTTTTGAAACCTACACGAAAAATATAGATATTATTGAACCACACATCGTCATATGTAAATATTATTCCATCCGGTCTGCAGAAAACAGAAAGTAGTGTTTGTGTTTCTCAATATTTGCTAGGTGTCATTTACTGAAAATGTAACTTTAAAACAAATGTTTTCATTATACTTTTTTATAAAATTTATTCTTGGAAATTTTTAAC